CTCGGGCTCCGAGCCGGGTAAGGCGAAGAAGGCGGGTGGAATCGGGGGGCGCTTTGTTGGCGGGGCGCGGCCTAGTGCGGCCTAGCGTGGCCTGTCGGTACCGGGAGGTCTCGATCCGGCCTCCCCCGCTATCCCCCCGGTCCGAGCCCCCCGCGTAATTGACGCTTCTGCCCCGCAGATGAGCCCGAGACGGTGGCGGAGCCGCCCCGCAACCCGCCCAATCCGCCGCCCCCCGTTCCCGCCGCGGTCAAGGCCACAGGTAAGGGAGCGCTCTGGGGTGAGACGCGGGATTACATCCCCCCTAAAACACTCGGGGGAGAATTTCAGGATTTAGGGGTGCTGGCGGCCCCCGATGCACAATAATTATAAAAAAATGTTAAGAGTTCTGGTTATAAATGGGACTTTTTGGCTTAAATTAAGGGGGTTGATTCAGATGTCATTTTCTGGGTCCAAAACATGATTATTTTCTTAAGTTCAAATTATGGGGAGCTTGGTCCTAAGTTTAGCCGGTTTTGATACTAGATGTGGAGAGTTAGGGCTCCTAAACGTAGGAGTTTGGTCCTTTGTGTGATTTTTTTTTTTTTGGTCGTATATTTGGTGTTTTGGTCCTAAAAGTGCAGGGCTGTGAGGTTCCAAATAGTTTTTGGAGGTGCTGAGTGTGGGTTTTATGGTTCTAAGCGTGGTGGGTTTTGTGCAAAACATAAGGGTTTTTTTATGTGACCGTGTTTATTCCCCTCTCCATAACCCCTTATATTTAACACAGGGTAGTCATCCACATTCAACTATTACTTCTAAGGGAAGAGACTTAACCCGTTCCTAAATAATTCACTTTGGGGCTGGAGTTGTTTCCATTTTAATTATTTTAATCGTGCTGTTATTTCCCAAGAGGCAGCTGCTCATTCTTAAATGCGTTTTGTTACTGGTTCTTGTGCTGATTCTCCCCAGGCACTTGTACAGGGGCTGTTCCCCCTGGCATGACAGTGGCACCTGGAGCGGAGGGTGGGGGTGGGATCCAATGCCCTGTGGCAGCAGGAGGATTCCCCTGAGGATTCTGTCTCCCTTCTCCAGGAGGTTTGTGCCTGCTGGGTGCCTATGCTGACAGCGATGATGAGGAGGGCGAGACACCGGAGAAGCCGGCCCGTTCCACGGATGCCAACGGCAGCAATTCTGCTGACATCGACAGCACCTTGGCAAACTTCCTGGCTGTGAGTGCCACTCCGGCCAGGACGACAAGAGGGAGGGGTGGTTGGAGGAGGGGAGTTTCACAAAGATACTGTCTTCATCCAGTTAGTGCTTTGATTTGAAGCTCACAATGGGATGCTGTTTTTACAGGAGATCGATGCCATCACGGCCCCTCCGCAGCCCGCTGAGCCCACCCCTGCTTCCTCTTCCTCCTCCTCCTCCTCTGTGCCACCCCCCACGCCTCCCCGCCCGGAGCCGAAGGATTCGGGCACAGGCCCATCGTCGGGCACAGCCAATGGCACGGGCTCGACACCGGCCCCAGAGTGGCAGTACGACACCCAGTGCTCACTGGCCGGAGGTGAGCGCCATTCCTCTCTCCCAAGGGGGTGCTGACAAACGGGTGTCACTGGGGAGAGGGGAGTGACAGGCTGCCCTTTTTCCCCTGGCAGTGGGAGAGCTGGAGATGGGCGACTGGCAGGAAGTGTGGGATGAGAACACTGGCTGCTACTACTATTGGAACACCCAGAGCAACGAGGTGACCTGGGAGCTGCCGCAGTACTTGGCGACGCAGGTCCAGGGCCTGCAGCATTACCAGCACAGGTGGGCGAGACCTCCAGGATGTTTCCCTGTGGGATGTTGTCCCAGTCCCACTCTTCATTCCCTCTTCTCTTCCTCAGCAGCACCGTGGCAGGCACTAACGGCAGCTTTGTGGCAACCACGGAGCCATTCTCTCAGGAGAAGGGGACCCCAGGCAGTGCTGGCCGTGGGACTGGCCTCAGCAAGCGGGAGGTGAAGAAGGTCAGTCATACGGGTTTTGGCTGTCACGGGGCTAGCAGGCACCTCCTTGGGCTTCCTTGAAAGCAGCTGGGATGCTCTGCTCCATCCACAGCCCTGGGAGGGGCCTGGCAGCGCATGGGCTTTCCCAGGCAGCTGCCAGAAAGCTCACACGGAGCTCATCCCACAGGAGGTGAATGAAGGAGTGCAGGCTCTCTCCAACAGTGAAGAAGAGAGGAAGGGAGTGGCTGCGGCCCTCCTGGCCCCACTGGTGCCTGACGTGGTGAAGGAGGAAGAGGAGCGCTGGAGGAGGAAAGTGATCTGCAAAGAGGAGGTTGAGCCACCTCTGGAAGAGGAGGCAAAAGTGGAAGAGGCGCCAGCTGCCCCTGAAGAGCCAGAGCCCAGCAGGGACCCCCTGGAAGACACAGGGCAGGAGGATCTGTGCAGCGTGGTGCAATCAGGGGAGAGCGCAGAGGAGGAGGAAGAACAGGACACACTTGAGCTGGAGATGGTGCTGGAGAGGAAAAAGGTAAGGGGAGATGTTTGTCTTGGAAACAGGGCTACACATGCAGGCACAGCATTGCTGGGAATAAACGGGGATGTCGTGTCTCGGCAGGCAGAGCTGCGTGCCTTGGAGGAAGGCGATGGCAGCGTTTCGGGCTCCAGCCCGCTCTCCGATGGGAGCCAGTCGGCCTCGCAGGATGCGTCCCGCAGGCTGGCCTCCAAGCGAGGGAAATGGAAACTGTTTGTGGGAGCCACCAGCCCTGAGTCTGCCAGTCTAGGCTCCAGCAAAACGGGCCGGGAGAGCCCAGAAGCAGGAGAAGCAGGTAATTGGAAAGGCTTCCTTTGGAGGGAGGAGCAGGGGGTCTCCTTTCCCTGAAGACCCACAGAGCAGAGCTGGGAAGGGCCACGAGGTACGTGTGCCAGGTGGAGACAGGCTGAGGGGTGGCTGTGTCACAGGCCAACCTCACTGGGATAAGCTGCTCCTCTGCGAGTTTCCCTATCCTAATTACCCACATAGGGAGAAGAGTGTCATATTCAGTGGTTCCTTGGAAGAAGGGACACAGATAGCAGCTGCCTCACATCCCATTGCTTTCCCATTCCTCCCAACATCACAAATCCAGCCTATGGCACACTGGGAATTGTCACCCTCCACTTCTAAAGTTCAGTTTTTGAGCTGCCTGGTACCAAATTCCAGACAGCTGAAGTGTCCCTGGAGTCACTCCAGGGCCCCACACTCAGTGTGTAGGGAATGTAACTCCAGCCCTTGTGGCAAGGCAGCCACTGTTTCTGTGGGGCTGGTTCAACTCAGGGTGTCTGTGGATGTATCAGTCATACACAAATACCCCTCGTGTTCCTGTTGGATCCCCCAGAGCTGTGCTTCCCAAAATTCACCAGCTATAGCATTTTAAGGAACACTCTGTGTTCCCAGCAGCTCTGGGACTCACAGATTGTAGAATCATGGAGTTGTTCAAGTTGGAACAACTCCATGAGGTCATGGAATCCAGCTATTCCCCCAGCACTGCCAAGGCCACCACTAACCCATGTCCCCAAGTGCCACATCCACATGGCTTTTAAATCCCTCCAGGGATGAGGACTCTACCACATCTATGTGCAGCCTGTGCAAGAACTGGACAGCTCTTTCCATTAAGAAACTTTCCCCAATATCCAACTCAGACCTCCCCATGCACAACTTAAGGCTGTTTGTCTTATTCTGCCTCTTGTTCCCTGGGAGCAGAGCCTGACTCCACCCTCCTCTGAGGGCATTGTTGGGAGCAAGATGGTCCCCCCAAGTCTCCTTTTCTCTGGATGTGCCAGTCCCTTCCCAGCACACGATTTGTGTGCCTGCAGCACAGAAAGCTGAATCAAACTGCTCTTCCAAGAAAAAACTGGTACTAAAGTGCATGCAGCAGGCTGTGTCCTGCTGGGCCTGCCCCATCCTGGGGTTCTTGTGGCCCTGAGGTGCCTCTGCTTTAGGCAGGGGCATGAGCTGGGTGACAACTCTGTCATTAAATCAGTGATGTCATTTTCGCTTAGGAAAATGAATGGTTTTGCCAGAGGGCTTTCCAAATACCCTGAAGCCAGCTCTTCCCAGCACCACCAGATTCCACCTTAACCTGAGGAACAACAAGCTATCACTCCAAAATAACCAGTTTAAATTGAGCACCCTGCTGCTGGAGCATGATTTAGGGAAGTGTCCTGCCTTCCAATGCCAGGATGTGATGAGAACTGGGGTTTCTTTCCCTAGAGGCCCGTGGGACTCTGTCATAAACTTCCTTCCTTGGAATTGATTGCTTTGACAGTGAATTAGTCATCTGAAGGCAAAACCTTCTGGTACTGGCAGCTTTTGGGGACCTCTTCAGTCTTTCATAATTAACTCATTGAATACCTAGTACCTGTAATTAACAGATTATTAAGATGACAGATTTTGGGGGTTAGTCTCTTCCTGCTTCCCTGATGCCAAATTTAACGGGCCTTGCCTCATTTCTGCTTTGCACTGTAGCAGCCTCTCCCCTTCCCCTGTTACCCTTCTGGAAGGATCCCCACCATCAAAACACAGAGCGGTGACCATCTTTCCTTTTAAATTTCAGGCTTTTGTCACTGGCTCTGGTGGGTCCTAGTTCTTTCCCCACTGTTACCCATGTTGGTTTTGGTTCCGGGCACAGTGTCCAGCCAGCTGCTGGCACTGCCAGGGTGGTGGTGGGACAAGGACTGACCTGTCCTTCCTCCTCCTGCAGCTCCAAGCACAGAAGCAACTGATCCAAGCTCAGACAAAGAGACAGAATCTGAGGAGCCTCAGGAAAAAGCCAAATCACAAGGGGCTCCAAAAATGGAAGAGGAGGAGCAGGATCTAAAGGTACGGAGAGGCAGAGGTGCGTGTCTGTGAGATGAGGGATGTCATGGGTACTCCAGCTGCCAGCAGAAACAAGGGACACACTGGCTGCCCCAGCCACCTCTTCCCTGGGAACACTGGAGCTTTGGGCTCTGGATTTGACCCACCTGAAGCTTTTAAAGCTTTAAAGCTCAGATCCCTGTGGGAGCAGCTTGTGAAGGAAGGGCTGTGCAGGACTGGGACAATATCCTGTCTCCAGTAGGATTCAGCAGCAAAAGCTTGGATGAAAGGAGGGTGTGGGGGGGAAAAGACTGAGCCCTGGGTGTTGTTGTGACAGAGAACAACCAGTTTGATCTTGACTTTGTTTTCACCAATAACAATATTCCAGTCTCTGGCCCGCTCAGTCGTCCCGTTTCCAGGCTGAAGACTCCTCGTCCGTAATCTCTCCGTTTCTTGAGGCTGACGGTACCATTCTGCCCTTCGCCCGGCATTACTTTTAGATGAGAGCTGGGGAAGCCCTGGGGATTTCTGCAGCATCCTGCTGATAGCTCTTCTCTGAGCCTTGGTTTGCTCCTTCAGCTGCATTGGATCAATTCCCTGATCTATAGCAGAGCTCCAGGCTCTAGGGCAGTATGACAGAGCAGTAGGGGAGATCTTTCCCAGTTGTCATTTAGACCCCATGTCACTTATTACCGTGAGATCTCCTGCAGCATAAAATTTGGCTCTGGAGTAATTTTGTGACGTTGGGAAATGTGTCACCTCCCTGTGGCAGATGGGGAATCGCCAGCTCATGGTGGAGCCCAGGTGGAACCCGCAGTGAGAGTTGCCCATCCTTGTCCTCATTTCCAACCACTTCGATAATTTTTGTGGTGTGAAAGGGAAGGTCCTTTTGTCCTTGTGAGCAATCCCACATCTCTCCCTTAAAGCAACTCCTTAAAGGATTTTGAGATGTGTCATTCCCAGATCAAAATTGAGCCTCCCTCAGTGCTGTATCCATTTGAGACCTGATTTTTAAATCAGTTTTATTAAATAAAAAAAATTTAAGCCTGTAGCAGGGCTGGACTTGCTGGTCCCCTCTGCTGTCCCCCCTCCCTCTGGTCCCAGTAGGTGCTGTGACAGACCGTGTGGTGCTTTTCCATGCAGGATTCCCTTAGAGCTGTTGGAGGAATGCCGGCTCCCTGGGTAACCAGTACCGTTTGCTCATCGGGTTGGGATCTCTCTGGTTACAGGAGCTGCGACAGCGCCACCGCTCCCAAGTCACCCTCTGCTCCGGGATGTTCCCTGGCTTCTCCAGAGCCACATTAACATGGGAATTCATATGCCTGCCTTGGTCTTCTCTAGGGCTTGCTTGTCTGGCCCATTCCCTCTCTAGAGACAGATGCTTCCTTGGTGGCTTTGGTGGACATTCCAAAGCCTCTTCTGAGGAGTGAAGTTAAAAATAGACATTTTTAGAGCCCTCCTTAAAGCGGTGGTGATGCCACTTGCAGACATCCCTGTTACTGTTCCTACTGTTCTGGCTTGTGGCTGCTTCCATGCAGTGCCTTCAGGCAGGGGGATGGACACAGGGATCCCCGTGTCCCCAGATTGGAGGTTTCACTCTCTTGGGATGCTGGGGATGAGTAGCCATGGTTGCTGTGAGCTGACCTGAGTTTTGATGTAGCAGCTTTCTCTGCTCTGGAGTAAATCCAGAGCTGTTATCTTTCTGCTGCTTTCCAGCTAGTTCCTCTGGAAAGCAATTATTTATAGTACCTGGAATGACATCCTGGCCCATTTACTTGGGAAATATTCTTAGATATATGCCATGGCATTGGTTCTGCTGTAACTCCAAAGTACCAGAGCTACCTGAGCCCGTGCTGTCCTTCTGCACAGAGTCAAGGGCAGTCTGTGGAGGAGCTGTCACCCAGCCACCCACACTGCCCTGTCCCTGGGGTGCAGGATGTAGCGGGACTTAACAGAGGGAGTGACAGGCACACAGGGCCAGGGTGGCACGTCCCGGTCCCTCCAGGCTGAGGGGCCACGGGTGGTCCCAAGCGGTGTTTCCTGAGAGCCGCAGGGCCACAGCCGCCCGATGCTGCTCCCAGAGGGCAGCTCTTGACTCTGCCCTTTCTCCTGGCAGTTTCAGATTGGAGAGCTGGCCAATACTCTGACTAGTAAATTGGAGTTCCTGGGCATCAACAGACAATCTATCTCCAACTTCCACATGTTGCTGTTGCAGACAGAGGTAACCGAGCCTTCGCCCCTCGCTCCGGCCTTGTGTTCCGGAGCGGATCGGATGCAATCCGCCGTCCGAGCGCCGGTGCTGCGTGAGCCTCGTGGCGCCTCGCCGCGCAGGGCCCTCCCTTCCTCGGCGGGGGGAGAGCGTGGCTTGGCGCGGAGGTGGGGTGTCCTCCTCCTGGCCCCCCGCATCCCGTGCCGGAAGGGAGCCTCCCGATCCTCGAGTCCCGTCCCCCCCAGGGCCACTGGCAGCCCACCTCAACGGCTTCCCCCGGTTCTTGCCCTCTAGACCCGCATTGCAGACTGGCGAGAAGGTGCTCTCAATGGAAACTACCTCAAACGCAAACTCCAAGACGCAGCCGAACAGCTTAAACAATACGAAATAAACGCCACCCCTAAAGGCTGGTCCTGCCACTGGGACAGGTACGCGCTCTCCTCCTTTCTCACCTTTCATCTCTGACATCTCAGACATGATTTGTGACCATCAACCACCCGACGACGCTGGCGCCGTCCCTCTGGCAGACTGAGAGCGGCTTCTGTTAGTGCTGGGCAGGCAGAGAAACGTCCGGCACTCGCAGAGTTTGGGCCGGCCGCCAAACTGGAGGATCCAAACGGAGTGCCCAGTGCTTTGCGACGGAGCTGATTCCCTGACGGACAGAGCTGGTTGTCCCTCTCGCGAGTGTCCAAGCGCTGTGGAGGGCGGGCCTGGGGGGTCGCGCATGCGAGAGCTCTGTGAACTTTGCAGGATCTCTGGATCAAGTCTTCTGACCAACAGCTCTTCCAAAGGACAAACTTCAACTCACCGACGGAATGAAGAACAAGATTTCTGTCTCCTGCCAGCAGGTCAGACCCAAACATTTCTTTGTCTATTTGGCTTTCTTGATTAATTTTCCTTTGTTTGAAATCTTTGCTCTTTTGTTTTTCAGCTCCCAGATCCGCTCCCTCTCTCTAGCATTCACTGTGTGTTTGACACCAAGAGTATCATAAAAACCTCTGCGCACCATGGGGTAGGGGGGCAGCCGCTTCCCTCCATTGGGCTGTTCCCCGGTGCCTCTTCTCGGAGGGCGACTTTCAGCCAAGGCCGTGCTGAAAGTCCCAATGTTAGCGAGACGTCGCCAGCGTTCCCGGCCCTCCCCTCCCTCGGAGCGGGGGGCTCAGGGCGACGTTCCCGCAGCCAGCGATAGCAAATAGCTTTGAGCGAGTCGGCTCGGGCCTCTCCTGCCTCTGTCCTCAAAGTTGTTTGTTGCGTGTGGGAGAGTGGCAGCCCTGCTGCACGAGGGTCTCCCCTGCGAGAGCGCACCGCTGTCGTGGGCAGGCCCACCTTGGAGTGTCGGGGGCGGAGAAGGGAAGCTGAAGCCTCCTTCTCTTTCTTGTGATCTAGGGAGCATAGACGCTATTTCTATGTTAACGAGCGCTCGGGAGAGTCGCAATGGGAGTTCCCCGATGGGGAGGACGAAGAGGAGGGACAGCGAGGCGCCGCCGACAGAAAACCCGACGGTCCTCCAAAGCCACCTCCCAAAGACAAAGGAGAGCACACCGAGGGGCCTGCCGAGCGCCCCACAGGTATGCCTGGCTGGCACTGGGGGTCCTGGCCCCAGAGCGGGGAGTAGGGGGTAGGGCAGGCCACGGTGGTGGTGTTTCCAAGTGGGGACAGCAGGTGGTGCAGACCATAGGCTGGGCATTCAAGCCCGTGTCAATGTGTATTCTTCAGGTTCCCTTTGTAAAGAATCCTTCTCAGGCCAAGTTCCTGCTACGTCTCTCATGCCGCTCACTCCATTTTGGACTCTGCTTCAGTCCTCCGTCCCGGTCCTCCAACCTCCCTTGCCTTTGGAAATGCCTCCGCCGCCTCCACC